CCATCTTCCTCCTCCCAGGTACTGAGAGGGTATCATGTTTGTTCCTTTACCTACTTTCAACACAGTTTTATCCAGAATGATCATTTCTAACTACTGTTGTGATAGTGGTTCCTTCTCTATTCCAACTGCCTTCTCCCCCAGCACTTGAGGCAGGTTTCTAACCATGGACCAATCCTCCTAGTCCTTGTTTCTACTGTCCTTGGCTATTAGTCTCATACTATGTATTTTTATATCTCACAAATGAGTGCAATCGTTCTGTGTCTGTCCTTCCCATTTGACTCATTTCACTCATTATGATACTCTTCATGTCCATCCACTTACAAACAAATTTCATGACTTAATTTTTCTTGGTGGCTGCATAGTATTTCATTGTGTGGTATCTCATTCTTACCATGTGTCTTGATAGCATTTATCTTTGTGCTAGATTTAATCTTGTGTTGTTTTAATCATAAGCCCTCAGCATACTACATCTATTGTTATTGTTGCTAATAAGAGGTCAAAGCAAGTGCAAAGTGCAAAATCAACTACAAAAGCTACTACAAAGTGCAAAATCCGCAGTGGCCATTGGCATGTCTCATTCCACCATAGCTGTGCTATTATGGTCTTGAAGAATAGAACAAAATGATAGAAGCTGTTAAAGGATCTGCTTCATTGAATGCAATGAGACCAAACAGAATTTGAGAAGGGATAACATCAGATATGGAGAAGTATTTGATGACCTAATTAAAGATCAGAACACAGAAGTTTATTCCTCTCAGCACCATGATTATCACAACTTAAGCAAAAATGTTTGCGAGGTTGAAAGAAAAGATGGAACCTGCCTGAAGTGTTGAACACGCATCTGGTTCCGAGAAGTTTAATGATTTGAGAATTGTAATTCATTATGTAATATAAAAGTGGTGAAATTGAGAATGCTGATGTAGAGACTGTTGAAACCATTTTGGAAACTAGAAAAGCTGATTGTGGAGAAAAATTACTTATCAGAGAAAATCTTTGACCTGGCTAAATCATTGCCAAGTTTCAAGGTTTTAAGTGCATGATTACAGTTCTGTTTGGGGTCAGTGTTGCAGTCTTCAGATTCAAGTTATGATCTGGAACAGTGAGAAGCCAAAGGCCCTTAAGTATATCACACTGACAGTGTGCCACAGGAACAGTGAGAAGTTATGGATGATCTAGCATCTCTTCCAAAAGACCCTTCTGAATTGATGTACTGGAGAAATACAGATATACTGCTTGCAGATAAATGCAGATATACTATATAGCATACCTTTCCAAATTTTACTTAGTGTTGATGATGTTCTGACATATTATTTTTGTTGGTATCTTAATGTCAGAGAGGTATTGAGATAATTTTTTCTTCCAAGCACCACATCTTTGGTTCAGTGAATGGATGAAGGAATTACAGTATATTTTAAGTTCTACTACCCGTGGAGGACACTTTTCATTTATTTACTGAAAGGACATTTTTAATGTTTGGAATAATATCACCAAAGTGTCTTTTATTTTTGTTTATTTTTTGTTTAGGGGCCACACCTGGTGGTGCTCAGGGCTTAGTTCTAGCTCCACAATCAGAGATTTACTCTAGGTGGGGCTTGGGGTGCCATATGGGACACCAGCAAATGAACCCCGGTTGGCTGTGTGCAAGACAAGCTCCCTACCCACTGGACTATTTCTCCAGTCCCTAAGGAGTGCTTGAAAGGCATCTGAAAGAAGGCACTCAAGATGTTCATTTTATGGTCTCAAGGGACTTGCCATAGATGAGGTTGATGCAAAACCTACCGTTTACTTTCTGACATTTGCATTATATACCACCAAACATATTTTAGGATGAATCCCTGCTCTTAGGTAGTGTATGAGTTTTATATCTCCTCTCCCATTTCTAATTTTGATATGTATTTAAGCAATGCCTAACGAGAAGTTTCTACTTTATTTGTTTTTTATACAGCTTTTATTTTTTCTAAATTTTATTTTTATAAAGTTATTCACAATAATTCATTACACTTAATATTCAAGCACCAATCCCACCACCATTGCGCCTTCCCACCACCATATTTCTCATGTTTCTACCCCAAATCCCAAATTGTGCCCCTCCCCCAAAACTTGATACATCAGTGATGTAGAATATGAGAGTTCATTCATGGCTGTATGCTCCAAGAATTCTAAAATTTAGATTACGATTATACAGCAGAGTCACTCATGGATAAGGCCTAAATCGCTGCCTTCCAGGAGCTTTATTTCTGAGTCTCTGGATCATGGCCATTGATGAGATTATATGACCCCAGCGGCAGTTTGTGGGCGTGACTGCCGCACTACTGTAAAACTTGGGAGATGGGGGGAGGAGGCCTATTCCCACTCCAAGTGAACTTGGAGATTTCAGTCACGGGTCCCATGCACATGAGTTTTTCTGCGGGCTCCTTCATGAGTGAGACTCATACAAGCCTGTGGAGTGAAAAAACAGCTTTTAAACACTAAAAGCACAAATAATTTTATTCTCTTTTTGGTTTATGTTTCATTTGTTTCTGCTCTGATCTTTGCTATTAGCTTCTAATAGCTTGGAGATTAGTTTGTTCTTCTTTATTTAATTCCTTAAGGAATAGATAGGTTATTGCTCCTTGTAGTCATTTGACTATCTAAATTTTTGTTCTTCACAATTATCTCTTAAAAGGACTGTATGAAATGAATGTTTACAGAAATATTATATATGTATATTTACATGCACACATATATAATTGATCTTTGGATCAATAATAATCACACCTTATTTTATATTATATGAGCATATAATTTTGGAGATAGAGGGGAGGAAGGAGAGAGAGGAAGAGAAACTCCTTGGGTAGTTGTGGAGATCAGCTATGACTTGGAAGTTTTTGTTTGTTTATTTATCTTTTGGACCACACTTGGAGGTGCTCAGAGTTTACTACTGGTTCTGCACTCAAGATCATTCCTGAAGGAACTCAGAGGACTATGTGTGGTTCTGGGGAATGAATTTAGGTTGATTCCATGGGCAAGCAGCCCATGATTTGGAAGTCATATTATCACCTGTTTTGTGAACATCACTTTTATGTTCTTATTTTTGTGGTCCTTAAAGTATTTTATCTCTAATCTTTTAAAAACATCCTAGTGCTAGGAATGTACTAAGTGTTAGAACACAAATCTCTATGTATGAGGTATCCTGAGTTTGATCACTGGGGTGCCAAAATAACTAAACACATTGAGTTGAAGTTCCTTGTGTGTGTGTTTGCTTTTTTGCATTATTTTCCTAAGTCATCTGAAGCTTTCACCGGAATTAAACATTTTCACCTTCATATGGTTTTCATTCACTGTGATTTTTACTGGATAAAGAGCTATTGGTAGAAGTTTTTAAAATTAAAAACTTAAAAAAATTAAAGCTTGGAGGTTAGTTTGTTCTTCTTTAGTTCCTTAAGGTATAGATAGGTAAATGTGAGCAGTTGCTATCAAGAATATTTTTCTGATGTATCTAGTTTTTCATTTAATTTTGAAAAACAAAATCTTTTAGGAAAGGGAAGGGCATTTGTCTTATACGTGGCCGACCCGACCTGGGTTTGATTCCTCCACCCCTCTCGGAGAGCCCAGCAAGCTACTGAGAGTATCCCAGCCGAACGACAAAGCCTGGCAAGCTACCCGTGGAGTATTCAATATGTCAAAAAACAGTAACAACAAGTCTCACAGTGGAGATGTTACTGATGCCTGCTCGAGCAAATCAGTGAACAACAGGGAGGACAGTGCTACAGTGCTACCTTTTGGAAAGACATTTTACTTGTATTGAGTCTGTGTCAAATAACAATGGGCTCTTAGACAATGTGCAACAATGTTCAACTGTTTTTCTTCTTGTAATGCAGGAAAAAGCACATAGTTGTGTTTTAAAGCAGAGATAGCTCTATTGCTCTATGACTGCATCTGCATGTAGTGATTTGCACATCATTGGCATGTCTGAAACAATGATTTGTTTGTTTAAATTAAATGCTTGTTTTTATTTCTAATATTAAGTAAACTTAATATTAGAAATAAATTTAAATGAGTTTCTAATATTAAATAAATTTTTATTTATGGATTTTGAGACTTTTTAATAATTTTCTCTCAGAGTATACTTTGTAAGTAATGGATATTTTTCCTCTCATCTTTAAATACCATAAGAGAGCCTTGTTCTTGGCCTTTTATCATTTTGCTAGGGTGAAATTGCTGATAAGGGAGAGAAAAGAGCAGCACTGTTACCAGCTTGGATTTTATTCAAGTGTAGTTCCCAGAAAGTTAAAAGGAAGTTCAAAATGGACATTGGTGGATTTGGGCATAAATGTTTTCTGCAGGCTCTTTTCTGTTACCATTCTCCGTTTTGCCTCTGGAACCAATCTTGAGATCCCTGAGAAATGAGAGATCAGGTCTCATTTTCCTCATTGGTGGCTTTAGACCTACCTGTAGATGCCTCTTGACTCCTAGTGGCCCCCGAGACTTGATGCATTCCACAAGAAATGAGAACTGATGCATTCCGCAAGAAAGTGGGGTTTTGGAAACCTCATCTGATGAGTCTTTGGTGCTCTGTCTGACAAAAACGAGTTTTGACTTGACTGAGACTTGGCTGAGATGGGTTTCGGAGACCCTTAGTGCTCTCTTTTCTGGTGAAGGCATATCTGCAATCATTCACACAAGCTTCTCCTTCCCTCATGCCACAGGAGAACCCAGGGTTTGCACTTGTGTTTCTGCACCCCATGTCTTCCAGATTATCTCAGGCCCTCATTTCCCACCAGGGCTGCCTGTCTCTGCAGTGGAGACTGAGCATGGCTCCTCACTGAAACTTGGGACTGCCATCCTGGGGAAGAGCCCCAATTTTTGTTTTTGTTTTGTTTTGTAAACTCAAAGGGTATTAATTTTTATGTAGCCTTGGTGGGGTTTTTTGTTGTTGTTGTTCTAAGAATTTAAATGTGATAGAAAACGAATTATTTAAGTGTGTGTTTCTAATGTGGAATTTTAATCTTTCTTTACAGGTCAACTTTGTAGTGTGCCAACTCTTTGCCTTGCTAGCAGCTGTTTGGTTTCGAACTTACCTACGTGCAAGCAAAACTAGCTCTTTTATAAGACATGTTGTTGCTACCCTTTTGGGTCTTTATCTTGCACTTTTTTGCTTTGGATGGTAAGTAATTGTTTTAATAACCTTTAAATGAGTCACATGATGGCCATTCAATACCTCTATTGCAAACCACAAGACCCTAAAGGAAAGAGAGAGCAAAAGGGAATGCCCTGCCATAGAGGTGGGGTGGGGTGGGGGTGAGGGCTGAGAGGGCTACTGGGTTCATTGGTGATGGAGAATGGGCACTGGTGGAGGGATGGACACTTGATCATTGTACAACTGAAACCCAAACACAAGAATATGTAAGTCTACAACTGTACCTTATGGTGTTTCACCAATAAAAAAGAAAAGAAAGAAAAAGAAAGAGAAATCAAGGAAAAAAATAACCTTTAAATGAATGTTTTGGATGTCTGTGGATTGAGTGTGTAGGAAAGATGCAAAGTAGGGTTTTGTTCTGGGTTTGCCTACAAAGGTTTTCACCTGTGTCAACTTTTAAATTTATTTCCTTTATCACTTTCCTTTTCTTTGCTGTTGTCTGGAGGAGATTCACATTCGTGGCTGTGTGGTGTGGCCTCAGGGCTCACTCTGGCTGTCCTGCTTGCGTCCATACTCGGCAGATGGCTTGGTGCCAAGGGTCAAACTCATGGCCCTGCACTTGCAAGACTGGCACTCAACCACTGAACCACATAACCAGGCCCTAATTTTTGCTTCATTTTGATCTTAGAGGGGAATTTGAGATTTATAATTTATGGAACAGATAAAGTTAATAAAAAAGACATAAAGACTTCTTTTTTTGATCTGATGAATTTTTTCCACATATTTTTTACATCTCCTCTGATAAGACAAATTAGTTAAAATATTTTCGTCTGGGCAGATAGCTTTTAATAATGGTAAAAAGTTCATCAGGTACTACTGTATTTCCATTTCTTAGATTCTGCCTTGACTTGAGCAGAGAGGTCTTTGGTTTATTTCTTGGTTGCAGGAATGATTTGTGAAGAAAAACCTTCCTTTCCGACCCTTTAGATGCTCTGTATATATCTTTCCTTCACTTAGCTTCTTTATTCAGGACTGTCCTAAGAGCTTTAAGTACAGATGCAGCACTTCCTGCACAGGTGGCTGTGTGTGTGACAGTAGAAATCAGAGAAGAGCTCTTGATCTCGATGAAGCCGCAGAGAGTCTTATTGGAAGCCTTTGATGGAACTCTTTGTGGTTTCTTCTCATTTTTCCTTCTTAAGTAAGAACTAAGGTTCTTTGCTTATTTGCTGTGCTGTTTACACGCCCACACACAGGATTTCTAGGTTTGCTTTTCTGCAGACTTCTTGTTTGAGATGAAAATTCCCTGAGAAGATGAAAATGTACTCTTATGATCATCTGCATTTTTAGCTTCTGATGTTGGGTATAAAATCTATGGGGTTTGATAATGCCTCTGTGTTTGTTCAAGGATGTTGTTTTTGATTGTTGTGAGGACTAGAATATTCTGGTATTTCTTAGATTAAATTTTGTCTTTACCAGTTTCAAATGGTTCTTGGAAATTGATGAAAAAAAACAATCAGGGATAACTTGTTCATTCTCTACCTTTTTGTCCTGTGCTCAGACCTCTGATCGTTCCTGCCAGTAGTTGGTATGTGAGTAGTGTTGAGATTTAAATATGATCTCTCTGTCTTGTATTTTCTGTCTTCAAGAGTTTTTTTCTTTAGACTTCTCAGATGATCCTATTTCAGATTTCTTATAAGGGCCAGAAAGAATGAGGGCTGGGTGCTTGCCTTGCACTGTGTGACTGAGTTCAGTCCCCGGCACTATTTATGATCCTCTGAGGCCAACCAGGAATGATCCCCCGCAGAGCCAGGTGTAAATCATGCCATGGTGTGTGGTATATGACTATAACATTTTATTATAGAACTTTTCAAATACAGAAAGTAAGAGGTAACTAAGCCTTCACATTATTCAGCTTCAACAATCATTAAAATCCCACCATTGAGAATTTCCCAAACTTATTTTTCTGGGGAGGCCGTCACCACCGGAAAGGGCTGGAGCGATAGCACAGCGGTAGGGCGTTTGCCTTGCACGCAGCCAGCATGGCCGACCCGAGTTCGATTCCTCCACCCCTCTGGGAGAGCCCGGCAAGCTATCGAGAGTATCTCGCCCACACGGCAGGGCCTGGCAAGCTCCCCGCGACGTATTCGATATGCCAAACACAGTAACAACCAAATCTCCAATGGAGACGTTACTGGGCCCGCTCGAGCAAATCGATGATCAATGGGAGGGCCTTTATCTTATCTTTTATTTTTCTGGGATGTTTTCAAACACTTCCACACATAAATTCTCCCACATTCAGTGTACGGTAGCCTGTTTGGGTAGCCTGTTTTCCATGAAAGGTTAGGAAGGGTTTGTGGATCAGTGGTCAATACCAGAGCCCCCATTTACCGTGTGTGTGTGTGTGTGTGTGTGTGTGTGTGTGTGTGTGTGTGTGTAAGCAGAGTAGAGGAGTGAAAATGTACAACTTCCTTTGGGGATTTTATGACAGGGAGACTGTCAAGGTGTCCTCCTCAGAGACTTCCTCTCCTAGCAGCCCTTTTCTCTCTGTGAAATCTTCCTAGTTTTGTTATGACACAGTGTCATAAGTAACTCTGCTTTAATGACAGATAGTCCTAAATATGTCACATTATCTATGGTAGCTAGATTGTTTTTGTTTTGTTTTGTTTTTAAGAGAATGATCTCTTTTCTTAAAAACCTTTTATAGTCCTTTCTTAGGGCAGAGAGATCCTTTATGCTTCTATACTCTGTGTCGAATGACTGCAATTGTTGTTGCTGGGAAAGTGGAAAATCCTTTTGATTCGCATTGTAGCACTCTTGTCTTTTTTAGGCTCAAAGGCAATCATAACTGCAGCTGATTTGACAACTTCCCTTTCAGAAGACATATGTTAGCGTTCTGTAAACATAATTGATCATTTAACCTACTTGAAATTTTTCTTTGTTCTTTTTTTTTTAAAAAAAACCCTACAATTTATGAGTTTGTTTTAACTGAGAATTTAATAGTTTTAATTACTTATTTAACTCTCTTGAAAACAAGGTATGCTGATGGGAGTAGAGTTAGATGCTTAAGTCAGAAACCCTGAGTACTGCTCTTTTGGCTCTGTGATTTTAGTGTGAGATGATATATCATTGTCATGTCGTTGCCAATTTGATTTGCACTTTTCTAATAAGTGACTTTCATAAGCCTACCAGATTTTAATACTTTTAAGATACTACCTATCTTGAATTTTCACTTTACTAGTAGCACTGTAGAATTGAGTTGCTTTCTGTGTGTCAGCACTTACCATACTTTGTTTCTTTATCCTGAAAAACCTTAATGGACTACTATACCAGTATTATACTCATTTTACTAATGAGGACATGTAGCCTAGCTGTAAATGAGAAACTCTAAAGAGCCCCAGTGCTATCATGTAGTTAAAAAAACACCTATATTTTTTTCCTGGAAATCAGTGAAACTGATAGGATGCAGAACCACATGCATATTGTCACAATAGCAAAGGCTCATACAACAGTAGGCTGCTGAAACATTTCTTTATCCTCCAAAGATTGCAGTACCCATTCTTTGAACACTGTAATCAGTTAGGGAAGAGGGCATTTGAGGGCACTTTAAGGAGATAGAATGAACTATGGCACTGTTGTGTGAGAAAACTTGACTTCTGAAGTTTTCATACATCCATCATCTTCCAAGGAAATTTACCATAGAAAGGGAAAAATATTTCCTAGAGTCCTCAAAAGTTTTAAGATAAGTAATTTAATAAGTTCTGATCTTAGTTCGTAAAACCCTTGAAAGTATCCTGCACTACTCATTAGCATTTTCACATTAAGTTGTTAGTAAATTGTTAATGCAAACAATTATACAGGATGGGGATAAATAGTTTAAAAAATTGTGTTTTAAAATGTGCTTTTTGTTTCCTCCTGGTTTGGTTTATACATGCTTTTCTGCTTCTCGGGATCCTGTGCTTAGTGCCCTCTGCAGCAACATTATCTTTGTGTGTGTCTGCAGATATGTTATGTTTGTTGGGAGGCTGGGTGGGCAGTGGGAGGAGTGTGTTAGGTGTGTGCCCCACAGGCTGACCCACTCTATATAGTGGATGGAGTTCTTCTATGGGCCTGCATTGGAATCTGCTTTTTATACTGTATCTATTAAAATTTGTGTAAAAATTTAATTAACCTTTCCACATTGAAGGTACCTATTATTCCCTAACAACTCGGATAAAATAATTTTTAATCATAAGTTAAACTATACAGTGACATGCAATTTTTCCATAAATCATCTTAGCAGTCGTTTAAAGTGATAGACAGAGATCCTAGTAATGTTTTGCCTGAATCTTGTGAATGAAGGGATAAATCAATTTTCTCCTTTAAAGGTTGATTTCTGTTAAGAACATTAGAAAATGCTGTGTTATCTCACCAGCATGTTTCATGGGCAAATTACGGATTGTTTATATGAGGCAACTTATTTGGTTTCAGCCATCGTCTTTTTAGAATAAATATATTTGGATTTGCCGGCTTTTAAGTCATTTTTATAGTCAATACTTTCAGTTGTTTTGTCTTGAGAAGATAAGGCATAATGCAAAATTTATATTAGAAAAATCAGTTTGGGAAAGCAGCTCCTGATTTTGTGAACAATTCTGAAACTTCACATTTATTGTTTCTCAAAAAATTGTTATTATTGTTATTATTATTCAATTATTATTGAAGCTGCACTACTTTAACCACATACCTCTGGTGTGATCATGTAACTAGGAGATGTGGAATGCTAGGGCCTTCAGCATGGCTTTATGGGATTTTGTTTCACTGTTTCAGCTCTCTGGAACTTGTGTGAGATTCCAGAGAATTCGTAGCATTTTAGCCTTTAAAGGTTTGATTCTTTTTTTTTTAAATCTGGGAATGTTCTATTGTATATAAACATTTATTAGCACAAATTCCTTTGACTTGATGTTTGTGAACGCATGTCCATTTTGACGGTGCTCTTATCTTTTATAGGTATGCCTTACATTTTCTTGTACAAAGTGGAATTTCCTACTGTATCATGATCATAATAGGAGTGGAGAATATGCACAAGTAAGTGTTCACTTTGTTCACATATTTTAAGTTGTATTTTTTTTCTAAAATAGGATTGGATCAAAGTAGAATTTAATTACATTAAAATGTTCTAAGTTCTAAGTTTTATTTTTTTAAGAAGAACTGTCATAAATATAAAATAAAGATACTGGTATGCAATCATTCTTATCAGTGCTAGGGGTTGCTCTTGGCAGTGCTTGGGGAACCTTGTGATTCCAGGCCTCCTACATGCAAAGCACGTGCCCTAGCCTGTTGAGCCATCTCTTCCACCCTGCTGATCTTTTTTAATGCAGGGATTCTCCATCTTATTACTATTGACATTTTAGTCCTTGCAATTCTTTGGTCGTAGTTATTTTAAATCAAATTTTGTTGCTATATTGTTAATTTACCATACTAAGGTCTGACCGTTATTTCATGTGTGGGACTGTCCTATGCACTGTAGAATATTTAGCAGTATTCCTTCCTGATCCCCATCCTTTGGATGCTAATAGCATCTTTCTCCAGGTTGTGACAGCCATGAATGTTTCCAACTATTTAAAATTTCCCTTGGAAGTCAGAACCACCTTCAGTTAAGAACCACTGGCTTAGCTGACTACAGTGAAAAGTTGGAGTGTGGCGAATTGATTGGAAGGAAATTATAAGAAAATTTAGAATGACTTCTTAGTGATATCATAGGAGAGTGTAAGTAAAAAGGATGCCAAAGATGACTCCACGTTCCAGGCTTGAGTGGTAGGAAAGACGGGAGCATTGTTTTAGGAGGTAGGAAATTATGAAGATGGGGAGCATGCTTAGAGAACAAACATTTCAGGTAGGCTCAAACCCTAAAATGTATTTGTTATATAGTAAACACTCAGTGAATAATTAGAAGTAAATGGATGTTAAACTTTAAGGTATCTTGAAACATTTAGGAGTGGCAATAGATCTGGATCAGAATAGAGATGTGTACAAACCTGCCTGGTAAATCCCAGGGGAGACTTCATTAGCACATCCTGCTAGCAAACCCTCCCATGGTGTCCCATAATATCTGAGGTGACATGTGCATTGTATTTTTGCATTTAGAATTGCATGTAGCACCTGGAGTCTTGTGCAGGAAATCATGAAACTGTGGCAAATAGATGAGCTTTAATTCTGTTTGCTTCTTCATTGTCTAATGATACTGGTCACACTTGAGTTAGCTTTCTTTTCCTTCTGTAAACCAGCATTTATAAGATTATAATGTTTTTATTTAAATGAAGTAAAATGTCTTCATGATGCTTCTTGATAATTTTTATATCATTCTGATCCTGTCTCTGAAATCTTGTGCAAATGACAGGTTCAAAGTGATGCTGTGTTTAAGATATGATAAAGGATTGTTTGTAATCTGAATAGTAGAAGTAAAATCTGGTTATTTTTTTGAAAATATGGCCTGCATTGCTGCATAAGCAAAAGTAATATGCTTATAAATTGGAAATTCAGTAGATTCATATTTAGTAATGATATATAGTAACATGAAATTGTTTCTTCAGAGAAGGAATGATAATCTGTGAGTTATCTGTTTATACTTTATATTAGTTATATAAGGTCATATCAATTTTAATTAAAAAATTAAATCTATGTATCATTACACTACATTTTAGGTGGTAGTCAGTAGTATTTGGAACAAATGGGGCATTTCTGTCAGCATAGACAGTTCTACTGGATGGCACAAATTTAAATACGTACATTGCAAAGCTTCCCAGCTGGCTAGCTTAGTGCTTAGAGTGTGAGATGCCTAAACACATACAGTTGTATGAAGTTAATTATGTTACTCTCTTTTATTAAATATTCTGGAGCTCAGTGTTATTTACACATATGCTGCTGACATTTAAAATAGGACTTAAGTCTTGGATTTTAGCATTTTTTGGAGCAGATTAGGCATATGAGTTGTTTGTGTTGCAGTAAGAGTAAGTGGATAATTAATTTTTAAATATATATTTTAATCTTTTTCAACTCTCTTCAATTTCATTTTACACAAGTATTTTTCTGTTTTAGTTTTTCTTCTTCTTGTTATCCATATATACTTTCCCCCTCACATTAGTCTCTACATTAATTTGAAATTGCATAGTGGGTCCAATCTTCAGAATTTTATTTATATATATTAAAGAGAACTTAGAGCATTTCTGTGTGTTGTCCAAAGTTGTCTTTATATACCACAGTTCTGTTCTTTTTCTTTCTTTCTTAAATGATATGTCTGCTAATTTCTTTGAATAGCTGGGGTTTACATTTTTTAAATGAAGGTTTTTTCACCTTCTTTGATACATAGTAGTTTAAAAAGTTTTTGAATCTTTCTACTTTATGCTTTGTGAACTTTATAACTCATTCACAGTGTGGTTGTTGCACGATGAATGAATCTGTGTGTAAACGGAAACATTTTCATTTACTGTAAACTTTGTCTTCATAGCTTTTTATATTAAGATCCATATCTAGTTATATTGCCATTAATATCTAATCTGTTTTAGAATTTATTTTCCTAGTCAATGGTTTTATGTTAGTTTTGAAGTTTTTGAGGAGAACAATTTATAACCTTAGGTGTTATTAGGCAATATACAAAGCTATTATTTTTTCTTAATTAATATAAGGAGATTTTAACTTTCTCCAGATTTGACCACCATTTCCGAGAGCAGAATTGGAAAACTCTATCCAATAGTCTGGACTGGGTAGCAAATAGTTTAGGCTCTGTGGGATGTAGAGCTGTTCTTTATTGTTGTACAGAATCAGCCATGAATGCAGCCTGTTAAACAAATGAGGTTGGTCATGTGTCGGCACACTTTATTCACAGGTGGTACCTGTGTTGGACCAATCAGTCTATGATGCAACCCCTTCCATAGAGATCTTCAGAGAGAGAGGGATACTCTTTTTGTTCATTTAAGAAATATGCAATATGCTTAAGTTTGCTGAGTGATAGATTTAGTTGCCTGCTGTATGAAGGACAAGTGAAACAGTGAAACAGTACCGAATCTGATGCTTCACATATTATTAGGATCATAAAAAAGTTTATTTGCAAGTTTATAAAGGATATAGTAAAATCATGAGACTTAAGAGCAGTATGCAATAGTCAATTTTATTCCTGTATATTAGAAGTGAATGCCCCCTAAATTTTAATAATCCATACTAATAGTGAAAAAAGAGTATTGCTAGGAATAAATTTATCAAAAGAAGTATATGGCTACTAAGCTGAAAACAAAGATCTAAAGAAGATATACAAATAGTTGTGCACAGTCATATATTGAAAAACTCAGTATTGTTAAAATGGCAAATTTCCCATAATTGCTTTGTGACTGATGATTATAATTCCATTTAGACCTTCATTATGATTTTAGAAATTAAAAACCAATCTTAATTTCTAAATGAAAATGCAAAAAACTGGAGATTGTTCAAAAAAGAACAAAGTTGGAGGAGTTACACTTACTCATTAAAAAACTTTTGTAAGGTTAAGTGAGACTGGTCATGGATTACTAGTGTGTACAAACACATGGATCAGTTAAATTAATCATGGGCAAATCATAGTTGAAATAAGAACTTGTGCAGTTCAACAAATGATACTTTACTGGTTGGATATGCACATGCAAATTAACCCATTAATTTGGTTAACCCAAATTAACCAAATTGACTCATATTCTAAACCATGCAAAAATTAACTCAGAATGAACTACAGACTTATTAGTTAGGATGAAAACCTTAACATGGGTGAAAAAAAAAGGAGAAAACATTTAGACATTATGTTAGGCAAAGGAACAACAAATTCAAAGTACAAAAAAAAGGAAAATGGATAAATTGGATTTTTTATACTTTGGAAAAAGATACCACTTAAAAAAAATAAAAAGACAAGCTACTGACTAGAATAAGAAATTGTAAAACATGTATCTGACAAAGGATTTTTATCCAGAATTTTTAAGAACTATCATGAATCCATGAGAAAAAAAATTAGGTGAACTATTTGGATAGACATTTTATCAAAAAGTCATATGCAAATACAAAATAAGCAGATGTAAAGATACTCAACATCATTTGTCACCGAGGAAAATGCATTTAAAACTACAGTGAAACCCTTCCTTTTCATCTACAAGGAGTAACAATACCATGTATTGGTGAGAATGTGGAAAAATTAGAGCCGTTATTCATTTCTAGTGAGAATATAAAATGGCACTACCTATAAAGAAACAATTGAGCTATTTTAAAAAGTTATACTTAATCTAGTTATTGTATATTAACAGAAATTAAAGTATCTGTCCATGCAGTCCCTGCCTAAGAATGCTTATAGCAATAGTATTCATAATAGCACAGATTGGAAGGAGTATGAATGTATCTGGTGACTAGGCCAACAAAATGTGGCATATCCATCCCTTGGAATTCTTCTGAGGTATGTGCAACAACAGAGATACATTTTTCTCAGACATGCTGACAGGCACAAGATACTTTACTTTATAGAGCTACTAAAAGGTAAACCATAAGGTAAGTAGCACTGTAACACTGTCCTCCTGTTCATTGATTTGCTTGAGCAGGCACCAGTAATGTCTCCATTGTGTTGTTACTGTGTTTGGCATATCGAATATGCCATAGGGAGCTTGGCGGGCTCTGGCATGCAGGCAGGATACTCTCGGTAACTTGCTGGGCTCTCCGAAAGGGGCGGAGGAATCGAATCCGGGTTGGCCGCATGCAAAGCAAAAGCCCTACCTGCTGTGCTATCACTCAGCCCTTTAGGGAAGTACTGAGTGGAAAATTAATATTAATGTAAAATTAATATTAATGTAAAATAAAGGTATAGTTTTTTAAAGTTTAAGGACTTTAGTATATTTTCCTATTTATAGGTTTTTTGCCTATAAATCTAAGTAGGAAAATATATGCATACACATTTTCCTGAGTTTAGTTTTAAGAATAAAATGTCCAAAGAAACGTTGAAAGCCTGTAGTGACCTAATGGGAAAGAAACGTAGGTGTTTAAAGAGCAGGCATAATAGCTGTAGTTGAACATTGAAAGGGAGT